AATGTCGTCATTAGAAGAATAAAAGTGTCCTGAACTGGCCTCTTGCAGTTGAGTTCCTGATTCCTGAAAATCACAGTGAACTTGTGGCCCAACCAGTCAAGTTCATCTCCCTACTGGCCTTAGAACAGCACCAAGCTATACTTCCCTGCCACTCCATTTCCCTTCTCCTTCCTCTCGCAGAAAACCTGCTCTAAGCCACGACCAGACACAGCTTCCTGGCTCAGTGTTGTTGCTCATGTTGCCTCCCCAATGCTGAATTTTCCCACTCAGTTTTCTCAAACTGCTCATTCTTAGTAGTACTAGACTAATGTCCACATTGGTGGGGTCACAGGAGGTCCTACTTCATTTCATCATCCATTCTGTTCACACTAGCAAAACATAGATCTTTTAAGAAAAAAATCTAGTAGGGAAAATAGACATTAACCCCAAACACTAATGGTTTTAACATCTTATGTATTTATTCCCTTTTCTTGTTTCATTATTTCTTTTCTGCAATAATTTTATCATTTAATAAAAATCAAAAATAACTGTGCCACAAACGATGTGTTTCTATAAGGAAAAACATGAAATGCTTTCTTGACAAAAGAATGCATATTTGGAATTAGTATTGGACAAGAAAAGGTTTCTTTTCTCATGCCTAGGATGCACGGGCCCTGATAGCGATTCCAAAACTGGCCCCGAACATTGCTAGCTGTACAATGGGGATCCTCAAGCACCTCTGGGTAGGGTTCTGGTGATCCCCTTGTGGATAGTGTCTATTTCACTGCTGTGTTAGTGAATTACAGGAGTTTAATGTGCAAGCAGGCAGAAGAACCTGTAGCAAAGTCCTGAGCCTGAGGGAACCCTGTGTTTGAGGACAGAATAAAGGTGGAGGGTGGCTGGCATGCAAAGGGCTGAGCAAGCGGCCATCAGATTGGTGTTTTAAGTGTTTATTTTTTAAATAAAAAATGCTCAGCTATAAGGAGAAGATATTTGACCACAAAAAGGTATCTATCTATAAGGCCTTCAGCGAGGTTTTTCAAATATTCCGGCCCAGGATGAAGGCCTATGCAATTGAGTTCAACCTATCTGCATTAAGGTTTATCACCTACATGAGTGACCAGAAAGTCACATAAATCTTTGGGTCTCCATTTTACTTTTCAGTTTTCCAATGGGAATAATTACCTCTTCTCTATCTCACATGAGAAATCCAATGATGCCAATGCTTGAGAGCGCCAGAGAGTGTTGGGTGGTGTCTAACGGGTAAGAGACTCACACGATTGCTCAGTCTTATATGCAGTCTTATATGTACTGCGCTCACGTTCTCTCTCTCTCTCTCTCTCTCTCTCTCTCTCTCTCTCTCTCTGATCTATATATCAGTGTTTCACAGAACTGACCTATTTCACCCTCAGAGGCTAAGAACTTGGGGTAGACCTTTTTCATATGTGTTTGTTTAGTGCTTGGTAACAAGCACAGGGAGGTGCTCAAGAACTGTGTGTCGACTCAATGACATCCAACAAATGCATGTGGGCTGAATGATTTCTCCAGCTTATCAGCTTCTTCCCAATGGGAAGTTGGTGCTAATCATACTCTTGATTGCAATGTTCTCTCCTTGCTGTGAGGGTGATTAGTACCTTTGGTCCAAAAAGAGATCAACGGTATTAAAAAAAAAGGGAACCATGTTTGCCTCCAGTACTTAAGTATTTCCATATAACTTTTAGGTGTAGGGGTCAGGGGAGGAGACAATGAAGAGCTGCCAATTTTAGGGAGAGTGCGGAGGACAAATGATGTAGAATCATCTCACTTATGGATGGGTCTTGTTCTATAATATTTGTATCAGAGTCCTGTGATGTCAGAGAGGAAGAATGACAGCCCCTTCCTACTACAGAGTTAGCAAAACTCAAAACAAGATGAAGGGCTGTTTCTAACCTATTAACATTAATTCGACAACTATGAGTTGAGAGCCAAACCTTTCCTATGCCATGCTGGGGATAAAAGGATGATCCTGCTCAGTTCATGGCTTACATGGAACCAAACAAGTCAACAATTAACACACTGTCAGGTCTAGCTCAGTGGCTGGGAAGCCTGTCTACAGCTGCAAAAAGGTTGAAAACTATTAGACTGGACAGTGACCATGGTAGAGAGGGTGAGTTGTAGGCAGAAGAGAAGGCATGTCATTCTCTTTCCTCTGTAGTTGGCAAGGGAGGGTAGGGATTGTGGAGGCTATCAAGGAAGTTACCAAAAAGAAGTGAAACAAGTTTATCTTATACTGCAACCAGGAGTTAGACCAGTGAAGGTGAGAGACCTTTCCATACAATAAAAACAACAGAGACAAAGCGTTCGTTCACATACTCAACCTACAGGCTGGAGGTGGGAGGCTCTCAGGAAAGACAAAATAAGAGAGGCCCCTGCTCAGAGAGCATGCATATGGATTCCCCATGAGCAGACAGCAGACAAAGGGTTTTGTCACTCACTGTGACCAGCATGACAATCAGGGTAAGCTCTGGATCACCCATGTGATGGAAACAAAGTCACAAAATCTTAAAGGTAGCAGAACACAATTACAATACAGGGGGCATGTAGAGGGAGCCTGGGCTTGAGAGAAATAACAGTCGCTCAATCCAGCCTCACATTAGCCAAGTGACCATGGGCTGGTGGTTCCTCCTGTTTTCCAGTTCCAAAAACTAAATCTATGTCAGAAAATTTGCTGTAATGGATAGAATTGAAATGATGGGTAGGAAGTGTTTCATCATGGTACTTACAACATCATTAGAGTGCAAGAAATCCTACATACCTACCACCACCACCACCACCATCATTATCAGTACCATTATCATCACTGGATTAGTATGAGGAGGGCCAGTGGTGTTAACTTGATTAAGGAGAGAACTCATCCCAGATTATATGAATGCCACAGAAAAAAAAAAGGAGCCCATCTGCTCTCAGGCTCTCAACATCCTAAGACCTTGAACAAGAAGAGACAGGGTACAATGCAGTTGATGTCATCCCTTGTGCCAGACCAGTGCATCTCAAATCCATCCACGGAAAGAGTCAGACCAGACAGGGAGGGAGTGACTATCATTCCCAAGAGGCAGTCCCTGTGTTGCCTTGACTTCTCGGTATTTATCCCTTCTCCTGCATCATCAACTCATCTCTGCCCTCATCACCATCCCAGAAAGCAGAGTGCTTACTCATTTCCAAGCACCATGGTGACATTTGATCTCCACTGACTCATAGCATCTGCACAATAACCCAGGGGAGGCAGGAATAACGATCACTCCCATTTTACAGAGCAGGAAATTTGGGCCAGAAACAGTAAGTGTACTGAGATGACAGATGACAAATGCTGGGACGTCCACCGGGGAAGCTGGGTGCAGAATCTATGCACTGAGTAGACTCCTGTCAAACATCAAAATGCAGAGTTTCTGGATGCTTTTGAGAGGAGGGGTTGGAGCACACCTGGTGGTATTCGGGGACCATGCAGTGATAGAGCTCAGAGAGCATTCAATTATAAAGTACACATTCCAGCCCTCTGAGCCACCTCGCCGGCCCTCAGCTTCTCCTTCTAAGCCAGCTAGGAGCTGTAGAAGCATCCTGCTAATCCCAAACTATAGACCCATGGTCACACATCCAAATTCCAAGTGAGGGGTTCACTCCCAAAGCTTCAGTAGACAGCGTCACAAAGGGCAAATGTCCACAGCTCTCCAGGCGCTAACGGGACTTGAGCAGATGCCGATTTGGCCGCCACTGAGCGACAATTAAAAATCCCCCATTAAACCAAGCTGTACTTAGAGCAGACCTTTTCTCAAGAAGCTTTTCATCAGGGGAGTAGATTTTCTTCTTGACAATTTCCTTAATGGCAAGAAAGGCTGTGTGTTAGAAGAACAAAGGAGACCCCAGGGCCAAGAACAGAAGATTCTCCTCAAGGCAGGGCTGAGAGGGTGCTATGGTGGGGGAGGGAAAATTAAACAGGCAGAAGAGCTATTGTGCTCCACATTTATTCCTCTAATGTGCCCGTGCTACTCACCCCTGCCCCCATCTCTCCACCTCCTTCTTCGGGAGCACTCACGGTAGCCCAGGATCATTAAAGTTTAAACGGCCGGATCAATATGGACAGAATGGCAAATTGTCCATCTGCAAATTACCAAGCCCTTCATGAATATTTAAGGAACTAAACTAGGAAGGGGGGAGAAGAGAGAACCTGGGGCTTATTTTTCCCACTGGAATCAAGGACAAAAGCATCTCTTCATTCCAAAACACCAGGCGATAAAACCAAGAGGTCAAGAAACACTTGAAAATGGAGTGTTTTTCAGCCCTGCTGCTTTCCCCACTCCCACCCCCGCCCCAGGCTGCAGGCAGACTCAATTTCAAGGCCACTCAGGGGGTATCCCCTGGCATAAAAAAGCAGAGAAGATCTCATCTTGCACAATGCCCTGCCCTGGTTGTCCCAAACATGCTATGTTCTCTTGCTCTAAGGTGCCTTCGCATGTGCTGTTCCCTCTGCCCCAATGCAATTCCCCCTTCTCTTCAAAGGCAGGATGGTCCACAGACTGGGACACAGTGCCTGAGTCAGACCTCCTGGGTCCGAGGACAGACTCTGCTATTACTCCTTGGATGAACTGGAGTGAACTTTCTAATCCGTGCCTGCTTCATGGTCACTCGAGCTGTGTCATATCACACCTCTCCTGACGGCATCAGCCCCGTTGAGTATCTGCCTCCCTGAGACAGGTCCCCAGGTTTACATGCTTGGTGAAGGCACCATATATGTGAGCCCTGATTCTCATGACTTGGTCCTGGCTACACTTGATGGAATCCTCTCTTTAACGGTCTCCACCTTCTCAGCGCCCGCCAGAGGGATTTTTCTTCCTGCACCCACATGACTGTACTGTGGCTATTTTCTGGTCACTGCTGCTAGACTGTGACCTCCTAGGAGGCAAGGCCACCCAACACTCACATCTGCGACTAGAGGGAAACATGGCACATGCACATGGGTGGGAGAGGTCGCCTCTGGGGCTTCGTACCTTGGTGACCACGCAACACGCTGCCCAGATGTCCTCGGAGGACTGCTCGTGGTGGTTGAACTGAGGTTCCCATTTCTGGATGGGCTGATCTGCAAAGGCCAGAAGGATGCCATTCTGGTCCACCAGGGCTGCACGAACGCTGCCTGTGCCAACGTCAACACCCACATAGTACCGTCTGTGTTTCTGATCACCGCTACCTGGCATTGTGGTCTTCTGCCTGTAGGGATGCAAGGTAAAAAAATCAGAAGACCAGAGTCACGCAGGAGACATCTTAAAAGGATACAAAAATGGACGCAGCTAATGCCTGTATCTAACTTATTCCAGCAACAGAAATGCTCTGAGCCAACAGTGAATAAAGCAACAACAGGCCAGCCAGGGGGAGAGTGAACAAGGTGGTGGGTCATGTGGCCTCAGGCATGCAGTCCCCTTTCTCAGGAGACAGTCAGATGTTGCACATTTATGAAGGCCATCATTGTGTGTGCAGTCACTAGACACTGCAGAGAAATGAGGATGCTAAAGCCATGCATCTATTCTTTTTATTTTTTTTATTTTTTAATGAATCACCGTGAAATACAGTTACAGACTTACAAACTTTCCTGATTAGGTTTCATACAATGATCGAGTAACCATCCCTCCACCAGTGCCTCTTCTCCACCACCAGTGTCCCCCGTGCATCTATTCTCCTGAACTTGCCTCAAAGCAAGAACAGTGGCCTTGGTACTAAAGTGAACCTCAGATACTGAGCGCCTCTTTTGGGCCACACACAGCAAATAGCCGTGGACTCCCTCAGCTCTCGGCTCTCCCTCCAGAAGACACACACAAGTCTCCAATGCACAGAAGGTCTGAGTAAAGCCACACATCTGGGGTATTTTCGTGAGTCCTTGCTCTCCTGGATGCATAGACACGCACAAATGTGCTTATCACAGGGGCCTGACAACTATAGAGGAGTTAGGTCTTGGAGGAAGCTCGAGGGTTTGCCCAGTATCACATAGGGGAACAACTGGGCAGAGCTGAGCCACGCTTGCTCTCCGAACAGCTGGCAGTTTGGATTTCAAGCGAAGGCAAATACACTGCAAGCTTGTCAGAAAATGACCGGGAACTGGGAAGGAGGCCGGAGGGAAACAAGATGGGGAATGTGCGAGTTGATCTGTTTTCCTTCCTGCCCCCTAGTGAGTTACAAGGAAACTCGAGTAGCAACACTCAGGAATGCCTTGGCCTCCATCCACACTAACTCCCTTTGGTCAGATGAACCCACCTGACCCAGAAATCTCAGAGAGGTTCCCATTTTCCAGGCGGACCTTTCAAAGAAGAGGAACGAGACACCCCCCCCCACTCCATGCACCCCCTCCCCCGCCCCTACCAAGACAGTACCACAGATGGGTTACAAAGCCCCAGGTGAGCCGGGCGTCTGGTTTCACGTGTGGCCACGCTGTCCTGCAGCCGGCCCCTATCAGAAAGGGAACGTCTCCTTGGCACCTGGAAATTTTAAAATCGAGCCAGCTTGCAGGTGTTCCTTCTGTGGCTGTGGCCACCTCCTGGATATTAATCCCAGTCAAAAGCAGCTTCATTCCAAGGATTGCTTTGGACTTAATCACAACAAGCTTGAGACAGCGTGGCCCTCTGTTGTTGCCAGCTGCCAGGCAAAGGGCACAAGAGAACGGGGACATGGAGCCAAGCACATGTGCCCCCTCCCTCAGAGCTGTCACAGATAATTGTTTGAGTGTCCATCTGCAGCCAGCAGGCCTCCTCCTGGCCTCTCTCTAGCTGGCCACCCTTTGGGGACACCCTAGGACTGGCTGCACCAGATAACAAACCTTTCCTTTCTCCAAGCCACGATGCCCAGAACATTTCAATCCTACACACGGAAGCAAAGTCGCAGAGCTTGAAGCAAAGTACAACCTAGCCCCTGCTCCAACCTCCTCTGGCTCTCCTGCCCTCCCTGTGTTAGGCCTCAGGGCCGCTGACACCCACCGGTTTGGGCTGTGACAAGGTCTGGGTCACTCAGCATGGCCCCCTATACCTTCCTGCTACTGCTTTCCAGTCAGGTGTATTATCAACCTGCCCATCTTCACCTTGAGTTCCAGACACCCCAGTACACCAGGTTGCTTCTGAAGCCCGGCTGTCTGATACAGATCACCCCATCACCTACATCCTGCTTCTGCTTTCTTGGCTCTCCCCTAATCTGACTGGCAAGAACAGGGTCTTCCACCTGAAGATCCAGCTCACTTCCGGGAAGACTCCCCTGCTGATCCATCTCTTACACGATACACAGGATGCCAACGCCCCCTCACCTCCCCCCCACCCACCCAATGTCTCCATCTGCACCTGCTTCCCAACCTACTGCTTAGAACTGTGTTTTCTTTCCATATCTGTCTCCTTTACTGGTTCTGAATCCTTAAGGAAAGGGCATGTTTTGACCTCCACCTGCCCCCAGCTCCCATCTAAGCAGGTGTCAATAAATCTTTACTGAATCTTTACAGACCACTTATGGAACGAACAAGAGAATCAGTGTTCACAGAGGGGAGAGGAAGACATCGGGGAAGAGGGTGGAAGGGGACTAAGCTCCGGTTTTAATAGTAATGTTGAGTTTGTACTGAGTGAACCAATATTTTTCTTAAACATTCTTTTATTGGGAGGCTTGTTGGAGGGTAGGGTCATAACTGGCAGTGGTGCTCAGGGGCTGTTCTTTGCTCTCTGCTCATGAGTGACCACTGGTAATGCTCAGAGGGTTTCACATATGGTGCTGGAGATTAAAACCAGGATTGTGCCTGATACAACAAGATACAAGGCAAACGCTTTACTTCCTATAAGACACTCCCTGGCTTCAAATCAGTGTAGTGTTTTGGCTCTAAACTCAGCCTGATCCATTCATTCAATTCACAGATATCTACTGGATGCTTCCAACGATAATTTATTAATTCTACAACACTATTTTTCATTTTTTATCTCTCAAAAATCCAAGGTGAATCTTCCAATCAGTAGCAGCTTACGATTACTTGGTTACATTTTCTTGATTAGCAGCTCAAGAAACTATGATGCATCTTGACTCGGGCACTGATCCTTGTAGAAATGCACACTGTGCCCTGATCCCTTGAAGAGAGTGAAAGCAGTGGTGGACAGGACCAGGTGGGACTGGGGAGACAGCTCAAGGGCCAGAGTGAATGCTTACGCATGTCGCAGGCCCTGGAACTACCTGGTCCTTGAGCACTGCCATATATGGTTCAATGACTGCTGAGTAGCACTACACGGCAGGGTCCAACCACCAAAGCACTTGCCTACACAGCTAAGTAGCGTCTCCCAGGACAAGAACTGCTGGGGAAAATATTCCAACCCCCTCCACATGCACACACACATACACACACACACACAGAGTGTCCTGGCTCAGAGTTTTCTCCATTTATCTGAAAATAGCAGAAAAAATAACCAACTGAACTGTTCTTTTTCCCCTCTGCCACCACCTCCATATCCGTCACCTTGCTGGGAACAGCTACTGAGCTTCCCACTGTCTCCCCTGAGGAAGGTCCCAGGAGTGCGTCTTTAACACACATCTTGGGATACCAATCACTTCTCCCTAGGCTAGAACTTTCCAATTTCCTAAGCACTCCAGGGAGTAAGGCCCTCCCGTTGATCGTCGATTTGCTGGAGCGGGCCCAGTAACATCTCCATTGGAGACTTTGTTGTTACTGTGTTTGGCATATCGAATACTCTCGGTAGCTTGCTGGGCTCTCCAAGAGGGGGGGAGGAATCGAACTCGGGTCGGCCATGTTGGCCACTTGTAAGGCGAACGCCCTACCCGCTGTGCTATCGCTCCAGCTCCAGGGAGACACAAGGAAATAAATAGGAATGAGAGAAGCCATATCAAACCATCCGGCCAGCACAAACACAGACGACACCATCCACTCTCCAATCCCAGGCTCCAGCTCTGGCTCTACACGCTGGCGGTTCTCACTCTTGCCTCTCCACCTTCCTCAGCAGGACACACATCAACTTGCCACCCAGATACCCTGATGCTTTCCCCATAAAATTCAAAGTGATCTATCCCAACTCTGCAGCTGAGCCAGAGTGGTCTGTTCTCATGTCATCCATCTCTGCATGATACTGGAGTGGGCCGCACCTTATTGGCAGAGTAGATGGCTAACCACCACAGGCCTGTGTACAGCTTATCGCTGGAACACAGCATTTCTGTGGGACTCCATAGACAACTTGAAAATGTATCAATGGGAACGGATAGTACAGCAGGTAGGGCACTTCCCTTGCATGAGACCAATCTCATGAGGTCAGCACTCCATACGGTTTCCCCAGTCTTGCCAGGAGTGATCCCTGAGCACAGAGCCGGGAGTACACCCTGAGCACAGCTGGATGTGGCCAAAAGGGAAAAGAAAACGTTATCAGTATAGAAGCAGAAGATGCCACGTTTACTGTCCAGCACTGTTAGACGGCTGGCTGGCATGACCACTTTCAATCTTTTTACATTATTTTATTTCAATTTTATTCATTTTATTTTTATTTTTTGAGTCACAGTGAAATACATAGTTACAAAACTGATCATGGTCAGATTTCAGTCACACAGTGCTCCAAAACCCATTTCTCTATCAGTGTACATTTCCCACCACCAATGTCCCCAGTTTCCCTCCCTCTACCTTCCCCACCCACCCCCAACCTATCTCTATTGCAGGCACTCTCTCTCCTCTCTCTGTCTCTGTCTCTGTCTGTCTCCCCCCGCCCCCCCCCCCACTTTGGGACATTATGATTTGCAATACAGGTCCTGAGAGGTTATCATGTTTGTTCCTTTACCTGTTTTCAGCACGCAGTTCTTATCCAGAGTGATCATTTCCAACTATCTTTGCCACGCAGTTCCTTCTCTATCCCAACTACCTTAAGGCCTGGTTAGTCCTTGCATGGGGGACCTCTTTCAAACTTGATACCAACCCTTAAAGGGCTGATCCTCTTGTTCCCATGGTGCTGAGGAAGAAAATGAGTGCCAGATAGGCCTTTAAAAAATATCTTCCAATATATGAGTGGAACCCAATCATGAACAACTTTGTAACTGCGTATCTCAATGTGATTCAATGGGGAACAAAAGTGTTTCACTGGCCCCTAATGAGAATATGTCATCTCCTCAAGCTTGAAGTCCCTATCCTTTCCCAGGATGCCATTCCATCTGATTCGCTGCCAACAAGAACACAGTGTCTGCTGGGGACACTGCATACCTGGCCA